AAGTTCAGATCTGCTGCCTATACTTCACCAACAGCACATAAGAATAAAACCGGTTCGATGTTTGACAAGTGTATGAACTTTCCATATAAGGTTGAATTAGGGCAGCCAAAGAAAGCTGATGCAAAACAATGAAACTAAATAACAAAATGTACTCCTACAGCAAAACCACACAAAACAATAGTTGCTATGTTACAACATACAATATGCATCCAGGTCAAATTTAGTGAAATGACGTGACTTCCCTTATCTAGATCTATATTAAATTACAGAGAAATTAGATTTTAAAAACCAACAGCAGAAGAAGCAACTACACAGATTTTTGAGACTTTAAAAACAAACATTTCAACAAAATCTTTCCATTGTGCAAACCCTATAGAGACCTTTAGACAACATGTTAGCCAATGTTGAGGTGTTAAAAAAGTGTACAAAAAAATTAATTAAAAGAGCAAATGTGATCACATTACCACCTCCTTCTCTTTTTCATTCAGTTTTTTTTAATTTTCAATGACTTTGCAATTTTGAACCATTATGATAGATTTGTGGATCCTGTTCTTGCCTGGTTTTTCTCTTTGCATTCACTTTAATATCACACATTTTTCACTCCTCGGTGTCTGGGATAACTTACCTGGCTGCAAGTTTGCAGCTGTCTTGTTACTGGAAGTTAGATGTTCAGCACAATACTAGATGTCTTTTGGAGCAGTGATTATCAGGGCTCATAAGATAAACATGGCAACAAGTCACCACTGAGGGGAGAGCATATGGTGACAGTTTTGAAGACATGACCAGTTTAAGTTTTGGTTATCAATCCTGCATATCCTGATCAGTACCTCGGATACTATTCTTAAAAAATAAAATCTAATGTTTTATAATTGAATGTAACAATAAAAACATGTTTCTCTGATAACACTGAATCACATCAAATTATTTACCTTGAAGCTCTGTGGAAGTATTAAATATTTTTTGTCAATAGATTGTTTCTTAATATAAAAAGAACATGTTCTCTAACAATTTCATCTCTTCACAATGTTTCATTAGATGTTTAAACCACTGTTACTCATTCACATAAAGGTATGTATATAAGCTTTAAATGAGATGTCCAGATATTACTCCAGGCAAAATGGTGCAGAGCTGCATGTAACAATGTTAAGCATTTACTGTCACTGTTTTGAATGGCTTGTCACCAAATTTCCATTTCTTCAAGAGAAGGGGAATTCACAGTTGCACTAATACATGAAATGTAAATGACAGGCAAAGTAGGAGGGGGAAGTAAGGCCAGTGCTTCCCTAACTGAGCAGGTTGCGGAGTGAGAGACAGAGAGCAGGAATAATGGATCTAATAATTTTTGTAGAAAAAAACACAAAGTACCACATAAACTCACATTCTGCTCACATAATTACTTGCATCAAAGTAAAAGTCATTATGCTTTGTGTTATTAGCTACAATCTGTCAGGGCTTGAAATGTTTATTTTAACTGGATTCATCATATTAGATGATGATTATTGATCTTGTTCATTTGCAGTGCATCATTGATTTTAAATGCTGATGGGTCAAAATCCCTGAAAAACAAAAGCCCTGTTTGTGTTTATTGTGTTGAGGCAATTAAGCACAGTACTACCAATGCTACTTGACCAGCTCAAGAAAATAATGAACAAAGCCACCCAAACAAAGACACTTTACTCACAAGTGTGAAAATAGCATGAAAACAAACATGTCAAACAAATGACTTCCTTTTAGGGGCCAACATCCCTTCAAAATCCACATGCAACCTCTCAAACACGCATGTAGCAACTCACACGCACACACAATTGCACTTCCCACCTATACACACCAGCAGCCTCTCTCATTGTGCTCACATGCACCTCTCTCCTACACTTCCTGTTTGTGAGGCGCAGTGTGTGTGTGACGTGCAGAAGTCTTTGAGCGCAGCAGAGAGCTACAACCAGATACCAGCGGCTGATTTCACAGTACTGCTCCGCTGTGCCCAGGATGTGGGTTTGTCTGTTAAACCGTGATGTGTGTGGTGAATGAATGGCAGTGGAACTGAGCTGGAGACACTTTGCCTTGGACTTTTTGGACTCTTTGGGTGCATACAGAGGTTATGGATGTTGGACAGTAAGTTACAGGTAAGACAACAGAGGCAGTAATGGGTAAAATTTATTTTGAAGGGCATCCACTCCCTGCTGTGGGCTTAGACAGGGACAGAAGTCACTGACTGTCAACCCGATGAGTTGAGGACAGAGTTTGTCTTCTCTGGTAATGTTTAGGGGACAGTGACTCCATGACTGACACTTGAGCATTGATTTGGAAGTATTAACATGTTTTCATCTAGGTATGAATGTAAATATCTCAGAATATGATGATTTGTGACAGTATTATATTGCTTCATCTATCTATACAGTGTAAAGGGTATACATCCCCATACATCTTGGGGACTCTTGTCTTTAAAGCTGTTTTTGACAGAGTCAACTTACCATATCATCTTGTTTTGACTCATGTAAATGTGTTTTATAAGATCACACTTCATTTCTCTGCAATATGAAAGCCTCGGGTGTCTTGTTTTCTGTCAGAGGAGTTCATGGACTGTGTCAGCCTCACAGTGATGGGAAAAGCAGGGCTGACATGTTGACAGCCGCCCTCTGTGAGCTCACAGACCCCCCACAGTGATACCATTTTGGACACTTCTTCTTTTTTAGACGCTCTGTATGATTCATGCTTTTAATAACTGCTGAGGAAGTAGAAAGACAGAAGCACGTGTTGGGCGTCTGGATGTTATCTTGCTTTAAATGTCGACTAATACCTGTAAATGGTAACATATTTAAGCCAGTCTGCCATCTGTTAATCTCAGATATCTGTGTCAGCCCCTTAAAGCTGATAAGTTGAAATGAGTTCATGGGTAATTCCAGTGTCTGTAGTTTGTTTTACAGAGCAGGTGAAGTGTGATTGATTTGAACATTTATATGCAGGAATAATATAGTTTATTTATTTCGATAGATACAACTGCCCTCACAAGTGTTAAAGAGGGATGCAAGTAACTGTCACTGAAGCACAAGTTCAGTCTGACACAACACTGTCTGTTAGTGGACTTTGAGGGCTCCACCCTTTATAGAAACTATACTTAGCCAACGCCTGAGCTTAACATCCTTTTTACTACGTAAACCAACCACATTTAGATTAAAAACACAGTACAGGTGTCTTTTGTAATGGAGATCATTTTCACACACACATTTGCGTCATAACCAGTAATGTAGAGGTAACGGAAGATGGCAAATTGTGACCTCCAGAGATCTTGATCAGGCAAACTGCCACATACAATAAAACTATTTTATTTGTCCAGTTTAGGTCTTAAGTTGAGCAAGGACTCCATGAATTTAGACTTTCACTCCTATTACTTTATTGGACTCTGGATGGATAGTTTAAAGAAAAGGATCAAAATCAATGCAGCAGAACCACAGATGTCTTTTCTTCCTTGTCAAAACCTAGGGTCACTTGAGGCAATTTATCAGACCCAGATCCCTCTGGAGCCACAAAGCGCTTTATATAACTTTTTGTGTCAAGCCAGTTAAGGCCAAGTCAAGTCTAAAGTCTTGACTCCTGACCATTAAACTGTTGTTAACTCAACATTTAAACATTTTCTTAACACATTTCAATACATAGGTGAAATAATTAAATATTCCAGCTGTGTGGTTTTATGCAGGATTTTAGGAAGTCAGGTCTTTAAGTCTGAAATCCACTTTCAAGTCAGTGCAAGTCAATCTCAAATCCTTATTTTCGTTATTCTGTGTTTCAAATATACGCTGCTCTGTTCTGAAAGGGTAGACTTCATTCTACAAAATAACAAGTAGCTAACCTTAGCTTTGATGTATCGCTATAGCCCTGAGGTTTATGCCACATGTTTAATGGACAACTTTTATCTCAGTGGTGGCCTGCAACTTAATAAATACCATTACCATAAGTTTTTCTCCAGAAAAAAAATTCTAAGCATTAAATGCATTGAGTTTACAGCCTGCCTGTCAGATAAAGACAGACTCTTCCTGCACAGCCAAAGGAAGGGATCCTCTATTCTTTGTAGAAATTGTTTAATTACGCAATCAGTTTGAATACAATCATCTCCTCCTGTTGAGAAAGAAAAACTGCCAGAGTAGATCATGTGTCAGGCTTGAAATAATAAAGTAAAAAAACAAAAACAAACAGACTGATGATGTTGATTTCTGGTGGTAGATATTGTTTGTTGTTTACCACAGATATCAGGTATGAAGAATGAATGCTGTCACAATGTGGACTGTCACAATGTATTGTTGTTGTTTTTTTTATTGCAGTATCCTAGAGCAGCACTGTATGTTATTCACAACATTGCTTCCTGTTTGCCTTATGCTGTGGTATCAGTAAAATCTTTGTTTTCACCTTTTAAGGCACACACTTTGAGGTCAACACCCCGTGTGTGAGCATATGCATCTGTGCACATGCACAATTACACCTGTTGTGACAAAGAATATTCAGTGATGTAAAGCACCCAAATGTTCTTACCCATATCACATTTAAACAAATATAAGAGGACATGGTTTTCTACTGAAAATCATGACTTACTCCGTCATCATCATCATTTGTTAAATGATAAAACACAATACTGTTCAATGTGAAACTGGGCATACTGTATTATAGCACCTGATATTTGCATTCATGGTAGTTTCATCATATGTTTATCAGTGTTTATTGAGGAAGTGAAGACCAAAGGTTATACAGAGTAGCTTTCTGTTCCCTAAGTGACAGAACCTCTATGCTGTAGCTAAATGTGCTAGAGCAGATTGTTGCATCTTGGTTTATTTTTAAAGCCAATAACGTACTTCCTACTCAAGTCACATCTATGCAGTTGCGCATACTCTAATTCTAGAGTATGGTCTATTTGAAGTTTTAAGTTAATATGTACTGCAAGACATTGCAATAAAACAGTTTTGCTGGACTCGTTATGAGGAAACAATCATCGTCAAATTACATTAAATGTAAGATTTTTTGTTTCAAATCTGCCTGCAGAGCATCAAAGTTTAATCTTTACCTTGGAAACAACAACAATCTCCCCTCATGGTCAACATGTAGTCCTTAAAGTGCTTCTGCAATTCCATGACAACTATGCAAACTTTGTCGTCTGATGAAGATCATGTGATATGGATGTGAGATTGTTGTGTCAACTGCTGTTTCCTAGATCAAGAATAAACTTTAAAGCTCATCTGTGAAATTCACTTGAGTGCTTTGCAATGGCAAAAACAAAAGATGTGCTTTATGCCACACACTGGTCCATTTTTTACTTACTTGGTTTAACAGACTGGAGAGTTCTCACCGGTAGCGGTTGTTTGAACAAGAGGGAAGCACTTAGTTACAGTAGCGCTTTGGTGTTGAACCACTGTTGTTTCCTAAAGCCATAAGAGGCCAGTTCACATCCAGTATGTCAGTAAAGAATATGGGGGGGGGGCTCTATGGGCCAGCAGAGGAAGACTGGATGTGAATATCAGACTCTATCAATTGGGGGCGGTAAAAATGACAGACACACACAAACACTCACATACACACACGTATACACAAGCTCTCTTCTCTGGTCTGTGGGAGTATATCTCAGGGTCTGATCACACCGCAACAATAGGGAGGCACCTGCTTCCTCAGCTGAGCAGGGAAGCTCTCTTCCTGTTAGGAAGCAGTTGGTAATGGGATCAGTGGGAGAGGTGGGAAGCAGCCTGTGAGCAGATGGAGGGAGAGGAAAAAGAGGATGACATGAGAAAGAGACAGAGACAGAGACACACAGGTATACTTGTACTGAGACAGTTACCTGTATAAGCTTAATAAGCTTAAGCATCAAGGACTGGACCATTGTACTACATCATTTTCTGACATTTGGTGCTTGTTTATGTTCACCTTGATCTTGGCAACCTTAGGTAAAAGGTAAAAGGTACATTGTTTATAACACTACTGTGGACAATGTGATCAATATAGGCAATGAGAGAGAGGCTAAGAGGAGTCTATGCTTAAATAGTTTTTAGTGTTGTTGTCAGGATCAGTGGTTTTTCTCTTTGGTGGCAATTAGGTGACAATTGCCACCAGGTGTTTTTTTAACCTCCTTTTTAGCTCACCTGGATGTTTGCCTGACGGAGACCATGGTTAAAACATTACACCATTGTAACATATGGACTACTTCTCTTTTTCTTTTGATAGGAGACTATCTCTGAAACTCTTTTAATCCACCTTAAATCTACTTCACTTTTTGAGTTTTGGAGATTGTTTCAAATAGTTATTCCACCACATGAAGGCTGCTTGTTATTGTCTGATTTTGTGAGTTGAAACCCATGAAAAAGTGGAAGTGACCTTGTTGACTCGTAGGGACGTGCTGCATACATCCTCTTATGAAACAGCACAGACTCATGCATTTGCAACACAACTAGCGACTCTACGTAAACAACTATGATGACACTGTGGACTTGGGATGGAATTTTTCTGTTAAAATCCCAATCCGCGTATATTGCAGCACCATTCACACTGCCTTGGTACCCTAGCTTTCTGATGATATGTTCATTAGCTGTGATTGTTTTCACAAATAAACCTGTTTTTATGCTTGTAATAGTAAATTTACATTCATAAAAAACTGTACATCAGCTACCCTGCCCTGACTTTAGATAATTGTTACATCACTGGCTTGTATGACATTTTTGATCTTCTTGTTTAATTTTTCTTTGAGAATAAACTCTTTCAGACTTAAAACAAATGTGAAATAAGACTATTGCTGTAAAAGTGATAACACCAACACAATTCCTTAAACAGTAACCTGTCGTCAGCATAATTATTTCTACTAATAAGCCTCAGACCACTTTCACTGCATCATGCCACCTCATATAAGGTCTTCACCTTTTTTATTACCTTTACACATCTCCATTGAACCCCATCCTGGATGCAAGAGTCATCACAGCTCTAACTTATTAGTTCCTTCCACTCTCACCGGGCTCTCATCCAGCTCTGTCCGACCCTGACAATGACCGGAGCCCTAAGCACAAGTGTCCAACACGCTTGGCTCTATACCCCTGCTTGGTGCCACTCGGGACACCTTTTAGACACAATACCTCTCTGGGGAGGAGGAACCGCTGAGAAAAAGGGCTACGTGGAGGTGTTTACGTCTGGAGCTGTTGGTATTGTTGTTGAATGGTAACTGTAGGAAAAGGACTGAAGTGGTGGTGGTGGGGGTAGGGGGGATAATTGAGCTTCAGTCCTCTGGCCTCCTGAACTTGGGTTTGCATAAGCTTCCTGGCCCATCGCTCCACCGGTGTTAATAATGAGGTCAGTGAATCGGATGTTTGTACAGTATATGTGTGTGTGTGTGTGTGTCTGCACTGTATACTGTATATGTGTTCAAGCATGTTTGTGGGTAAATATATGGACAATTGTTAGTGTTACACATGTAACACACATGTCCATAGGTGTGTTTGTGTTCTTTTGTTCTTTTTACTTTTTATGTTGGCTTATGTTGCATACCTTTAAAGGGATAGTTTCACAGTTACTTAGCTTGCTTGTCCATCGTTAGATAGGACATACCACTTGGTATTAGCAGGTGTTTAGCTTGGCTAGCATAGCTTAGCATAAAGCCTGGAAACATGGAAAACAAAATCCACTTCTAAATCTCACCTATTTACATACTTCCAGTCTTGCCAAATTAAGCTAACACGAAGTTAACTGCTGCTTTTAGCCTTACTAGTGCAGTGCCCATTCAGGACATGGCTGTTCAGAACGTGTTGATTGCTTGGCCTCTGGAAGTGTTGCCGTTTTCTCGAGAAACCCTTGTCTTCACACTCGACACTGCACTACCTTGGGTCCTCAGCAATACACTCGCCAAGGCTGATCAGATAAAAGTTGACAATTCTGAACAGACAAAGATTCTTGTCAATCACTGTGGGAGTACTGGATTATACAGATTCAGCGGTTTTCGAGATATGCGATGGACAGGCAGAGGCTATTGAATGTATCAATCTTCTTATCTAACAAGATTTACTCTTGTAAAGAGACAAATAAGCATGTTTACCAAAATGTCACACTATTGGTTTGTACACTATGTGTATGTGTGTATGAGTCAGGTGTTTGGTGAGTTGGTGTGTAAGAGCAAGTGAGTCATTTATTAACACTATTCATTTGACAGCCTTCATTTATTTCTAGCTTTCATGTGCAATGGGGAATTTGTCACGCTCTCTGGGGAAATTTTGAGAAGATGTAATCAGGCAAAAACAGTTTTTGATATCATTGCTCATTTCTGTCCATATGCTGATTTCCCACTGTTAGGACTCAAATGCGCAGAATGCTTATTTTCCATGATCAAAACAACCTCATGAATTATGCGTGTATATTTAACATATTTAAAATGGAAATATAGCTAAATACATCACAAATAAATAAATGCTGAGCCACTCAATTTCTAAAACAAAAAATCTTTAAAAAGCTTTGCCCTGTTTTCTTTAGGGAAGTGGCCTATGGTTGTTCTGCTTCTCAAATTGGGATGTTTCCCAGAGTTTGCACAGCATATGTTGTATTTCCATGAAAAAAGTCTAATATGAGGTAAGACAAGGTTTAAAAATATATCAAGCAGCAACATAATACATTACCAACCACCCTGTAACTTCTCTTCTGACCACATTCCAATAAATGTTCATTAAATGTTCCTGTGAGATTTGATTCGGGTCTAGTAAAAACTCAAGTAAAACTCAAAAATCTTTCACAACTTTCAGAAATATTTTCTAGATTGAAACTAAATTTCACAGATATGTTCATTCGCTGACAAAATATAGGATTTTTATTTGGATAAAAGTTCTTTATTAAAATTTTCAAATTCAAAGAGTCCTTATTGGCATGACCATATTGAAACAGTATATAAGCACATTATAGAACATGAAACTATTTTAATTTAAATTTGTTCTTAATAGAATTGTATTTGTATATCCCATTCACTCAGATGTTCCTTAACCAGTTATTGATTTTTATATTCATATTAGCTAGATTATGCATGCAACTTCAAAGAGCTGTATGTATGGAAAGTAACAGACTGTAGCCTTTTTTTTCAAATTGATTTAGTTGCCTTACGTGCCTACACATAATATAACGACCTCCACACTATTTATATGGTAAATAAATTAATTAATTGTCTTAAAAATGCCATTAGTGAGACACAGTATTCTCATTTTTAAAAAGAAAAAAAAAAGGTTAATCCATGGATGACATTACTTGCATGTTAGTGTCAGTGTTAATCTTATGTAGCTGGATTCCATTTTAACAAGCTGTTGGAGGTATAGATAAATCTAAGAATAAATATAGTTAAAAGATGGAGATCCAGTAGATTTATGTAAGTTATGGTAGTGTGGTGTTGGTGATCACCAATGTAGAAAACATCTCGAAACCTCAATGAGTTTAACATGACAGGGTTTCCCTGAGAAATGGCAGCAGGGCAGCAACGTACTCACTGTGCACATTGTTTTGACCATCAAATGCTTCTTTACGGAGGTTGTTTTGTGAGTGACTGTATTGGGTGCAAGCTGTCCCCCCACAAAAACACCTGTGCAATTTTCAGGGGGAATTCAAAAATCTTGCAATGTTGTAGTTACCAGTGAAGAAGTGGTCACAATTTGGGGCATATGGCTTCTGTTTTTACAGCAACTCTTTCCTTGGTTTGGACAGCAGTCTCGGTTGACTTTTGGTTTTGGTTGGTTGGGACTGCAGCTTTCAAACTGTGTCTTTGAACTCCTGTCACCATGAATGTTGTTTATCTACCCAAAAGACAGCCATGATTTATAAATCTGTCACTCAACTCTTTTGAGTTGCTGATGGGACTTCCCTGGTATCTTATTATTCATATAGCTTCTGATGGGATGCATTTATAACAGAACTGAAACAACTTGCCACACCTGGGTTGTCCTCAGATGCTGCATGAAAAACCGTAAAATGCACTAACAAACTGAAAGTTATAAAAATGAAGTTCAGCATGTTCCGGTGAGTCAGTGGTGAAAATATGATGCATTTTCAACGTTGTGGTCATACAGGAATTAAATATTTCACTATATTCACCTCATCTCTCTGATCTACAGCATTGTTTCACAACTGATGTGGAAATGATTTGAAACTGATTTGAAATCACTGAAGTCACTAAGGGCAGTTTTTCTATTTTACCCTACCAGATAAGTCATATGGTGAAAATTGTGGGCTTGTTTTGTTTTGCCTAAATCTTGCTATGAAAGCTTCTTGAGTAATGTTAGAATGTCATGTATTCAGACATAGCCTCCTTGAATCATGTAATTACTGACCGTAGACACATATCTATAGTCCCCTGTGTATCAGAATCAGAAATCAGAATCAGAAATCAGAATCAGAAATACTTTAATAATCCCCAGGGGGAAATTACTTGAAAGGGGGTACAAGAAACAGGAAAAACAAGAGGAGAGGGGAGGGAAAAAAAGCCGCTCCCAAACTCTGCTCCATTAGGGGAAGTGTATTTTACACTACTGCAGTAAGAGTTCCTTTTTGTAAAACTTGTAAAACCGTCATTCCTTCTTCCATCTAGAAGGACATTTGTTATTGATGTTTATCACAGAACATGATAGCTAATGTGGTTCTTCTCAACATTTTTCAAGACTCTTCATAAAACTGTCGGATTTGAGGCAGAACAGGCATCATATCACATGTGACATTTCAGGAACTATGGCAACAAAACAGCAATACAATCAAACCGTGTCTGTTTTTCCTCCTGCTTAGAAATATCTCTTCATGGTTTGTGTATCTTCTTAGACTCATTTTCATACTTAGCGGGTGATCTGCCCTCATGCAAAACAGACATGATAACACATGAAAACAGAAGGCTGTGTTTGTGTGTGCACATGGACATTATCATATGCATACAAATGAATTCGAAGGTAATATTCCATAGAACACATGAATGTTAATGGAGTTATGTATCATATTTTGATACTTAATATCAGCTCTATCTCTCTTCCCTCCACAGAACCTGAACGGTGAAGATGCAGCACACCTCGTGTACAGAGGACAGAATCCAGCATGCTCTGGACAGGTGTCTGGATGGGCTGAGACAAAGCCCCACAGCAGCGCACCACTGGAACGGTAAGACTCCAGCAACTACACTAATGATGAGAACCCACAGCTGAGATTTGGTTGCGATGAAAAGAGTTTAGTCAGGGCTTGTAGCAGCAGACATGGACGCATGTAACAACAACTAATTGCGTTTCTACACTGCTACAATGAGAATAATTGAAGTTCTGTGGGACTTATGATCTAGCATCTGAAGCCACACCAAAATCGTATCACCTGTTCTTTGGTTCTTTGGTCCAAGGCCATTTTAGAACAATCTCAGGATAAGGAGAGGATGAGATGAATCAACAGGAATTTTAAACCTGTCATAGCACGAAAAGCACAGGTGTATTTGATAACATTAATGATGGCTGCATTCCACTGGAATGTGTTACTGGGACACTGAGTTATTGTTAAAGATATTAGATCCACCTGTACGTGTCCTGCTGTGACAAGTCAGACAAAAGGTTTATTACAGGGTTGTGGTTCAATCCTGGCTTCTCCAGTGCTCATGTGCCTCAGCCAAATTATTGTCAAATTAGAGCTAATCACATTTATCATTTTGTCTGGGTGCTAATCTAGAGCTGCTTACAATTATCCAACAGTCTTGCTCAAGGCCTTGTGGCTATTGCACAGGGTCACCCCTGTAACCTTCAGTTTCTAGAAATGTACAAACAACACATTGTCTCAGAAGTATCAACTCCGCTAAACACATTTAAATGTGACATGTGCTGTTTGCAGTGCTGACTGGAAAACATGTTTGTTCTCACTTTCTTAACACAAGAGCAGCATATGACAGCACACGGGATGTTTGAGCATATACGCGTCTGAGCTTGTTGTTGGTGACACTGTGCTGTATGATCATCAGGGGAGCATGTTATTGGGTGCTGGAGGAAGTTGTGTGAATAGACAGCTGGGAGGAAGTGGTGGCACAGACCACAGTGTGTGAGTGAGGCATCATGAGGCAGGAGTCATTGCGGTGCAGGGTGTAAAAACAGGTCGGCTAATCAAATCTGCATCGGCCTCCTGCATATCCACCAGTGCCAGATAGAGTGGCGGATACACATGTTCAATTTTAGCTATCCCCCTGAAAGACTGATTTTGACATATAAAACAAGTTTGTTTTTTATGTTTCCTTCTCCACTTCACTGCTCCATCATAGCATAGGCCTTTGTGACTCCAGTATCTGTTCATAAGATTTCTAGGGAGGTGAATGTTGTCTCTATGAGTGTAATCACATTAATTTGAACTTGTACTTGTTTGCCTTCTGCTTACAGAGATGATCAAATATACATCTAAACAGGATCATCTGAAATGTGCAGCTTCGCATGCAGCTGGCATCTTAGAAAGTTAAGAGCTCTCTAGTTAATACTCATGAAGGTTGCAGTTAACTTTAGAAAAGTACAGCGACTGACACATTTCTTGGAAAACATTTCTGTGTAACCCAAACTGCTGTTGTGTTACTTCTTTGGTAACTGCAGCTCCTAGAGTTGTTCCGATTCCGATACCAGTAT